CATGCAGCTCATCCGATCCATTGGAATAGAAGGAAAACTCTTGAAAATAATACACCTTTTGGCCTCTTCCCATTTTGAATTATTATTTCCCCTTTTTTTTCTAATCATTTTTAGTTATTTCCATTTGAATTTTCTTGAAAAAACTCATCTATCCATCACATAGATAGAATGACAACAACGTTCATTCTTTGACATCTTCTTTTCTTCAATTTCTTGTTCAATCTGTAGGTATGGTATGGGCTCCATGTATATCATTATGTACAAGATGTATATGATTTGATCGTTTCTTAAAATAGAAATGTTTAAATTTTTTTCCCAAGTTTTAGATGAACATGATTTGAAATGTTAAAATATACATATTAAAATAAGGCCAATAAATTTTCAGAGCATTCATTGGATCTGTGGAGAATGCGGTGGCAGCGGCCAGTAATCTCCAGATATAATATTATGCATAAATAGATTCTTTATTCTTTTATTATTGGGGCTATATCTAGTTATGGGTACAAATTTTGACATATTTATAAAAACATATGCAAGACCTGTCAATTATGTGATACAAGATCAATTTCTTTGTTACTTTATTTGTCACAGTTTTTTCTAGACAGGCAGCAAGCAAAGTGATGATAGCCAAGACAGCCAAATGTAAAGATATCGAGAGATATCTCTTCGTTCTTGTGGCATTTGAGTTATGTATAATTATGTACGCAAACTTCAATACGTTAGTGGAAAAGTACGCAAGAGACCGTCATACTAAACTGTAGGCTCTATTAAGACATTCTTGGTAATATAAATTCATCGATGTATAGAGAGAACTAACTTATGCAAAGCAGAGAAATTATTTTAGATGGTTGAAAACTCTTAGAAGTGGTAGCTTTTATTTTTCATTGGGGCTAGTCCCTGTTTTTTTCCTCATTATGAAATTTTATCGGATTTTTCTGTCTTTCTTTTGCAAGGGAACTTATGCTTTGTTGTGAGGTTCATTAGAAGTACCTCTCGATGCACTATGTTAATATATAGCACGATAAATTTTGGACAGGTGTGGTACAGTAAGAAGTATTTTGAGATGAAATGATATAAGTTCCTAGAATTAATTTGTTGATGATTTATTGGAAGTTGCAAGGCTGAACCTTTTTCCTCCTCTAATCCTTCCAAGGGGCATCAAGGATAACGCGTCACTGAAAACTTCCCTCCCCAAGAACTGCGAGTTCACCACGTAATAATGGCCTCGGTCGCAGTTGCGAGCTCTGCCGGCGGCGTGCCGTGAAATACTCCGCCCCAGAATGACGGCCTGGCGCGGACGCTCTCCAAATTCCACTCCCGCGCACGCACCATATCACGCACGACATTTCGCGGCATCAAATAACCCGGTCCAAATCCGCGCGTCGCGCGGATTTCTCACACCATTCTCCCGCCCGTGGGAATAGCGCAGAATCTCTCTTGCCTCCTCCACGACGTGCGAGTCTACGACCGGATAACCGCGGGCACCGAACCTGAAGGCCGGTCGGGCCGGGTTCGTCCCAGGCTCGGCAGCAGGCGCGTCGTGAAAGCGAGCCCCCCTGATTCCGTCGTCGTCAAACAGAGTGTGCTCCGCTCACCGCCCTTCACTAACCCCCTTTTACCGCAGTAATGGTAAACCAGCGCGAGGCGAGGATGGACGAGCGGTCGCTCTCCGCGCCGAGGACCGCGCCGAGCGCAAGGAACTGGTTTCTTCCTTTCTCCGCTGTACGTTGGCTCGGCCCGTCCCGCTCCGCCCCGTCAGACCGGCCCTGACATCCACTAGCTGCGTGCGTGTCATTGCGCTACGCTCTGACTCGGACCAGTGGTCTAGGTGGAGCCCCTGACCGAAAGGCAGCCCGGACCCAACCGGGGGTTCCGTTTCCCCGTCTATTAATGGCAAAGAACCCCGCCACCAGACAAGGGCATGTTTACCGAAGCACAACCCCCCATCTCCCCCCTCTCCCCTCTCCCCTCTCCCCTTAAAGAAGAAAAGCATTATTTTTCCCGAGGGTTTGCATACCGAGAAATCGTGTTAAAGCAATAGTTGGAGTAGGGGGTCGAAAAGGCAAGAGCTGGGCGACAGCTTTTCTCGCTCTTTCGTTCGAGCTCACTTAAATCGAACGCGTTATTTTGGTACAATAGTTCCCGGCTGGACTATTTTGACTATCTGGAAGGGAGGTGAGCCTTTTTGCAAGTACATGCTTTCGACAGCAATGCAACCCTTTGAGCGAAAATCCCGCCACTCCCTCGGCCCCCCTCCCCTCCCCTCCCCCCCCCCCCCCCCCGGCCAACCAGAACTGGCTTTCATTTTTCTATATGAGCTATGATTTATGGAAAGCATCCCCAACTCCTCAGTCTAGGGAAAAATGAGTTTTTATTCCGAGGGAGGGACGTCGATCTTTGCTCCACCCAACGATGCAGTTTCAATGTTTAGATAATGGCTCTCGCGATATTTGGTATGCTTTCTCTCCTGGGCTTGGAAGAATGTGCCGGACAACTCAGACATTCTCCTCTTGGCACTGATTTTCTCTGCTCGGAAGCCTCTGGGAAGCAAGGAGGCTTAGATAAGAGGTTATAGTACCCGTCCTCGTGGGTCTCTCTCGTCATTCTGTGGGATAGAGAGCAAAGATATTTTGCTCTGCTATCTCATTTCTTCATAAAGGCAAGCGGGCGACTTACTTTGCACAAGTCATGCTGTAGACTGCGCATCCACTGCTTTAGCTCGACTCACTTCCAAATAATTATCCATAAAGGACGGTGCTGATATCAACACTCCATGCCAAAGACCTCTTCTTCTTACCTGGAGGTAAATAAATTATCCAAGCATTGTGCTGGGTTTCTGCTCAAAGTGTACAATGGTTAGGGTCAGTTCTGGTCGTGCCTAATCTCAGTACTTGACATTGCTGTATCCAGGTATTAGCTGACTCTGCGTCACATAAGTAGACCCGGAATACAAACGTATTCAAATCCATATCCCTATGGATGTGGATTTGAGTCTGAGACGAGAATGTACTCGGAACAGAATGTTAGAAAAGCTTCCTCTTCTTCATCGGACTCCTATAGTTTCTTATCTAAACAGGTCTGAATTCTCGTCACCAACTCGTCCTTTGACATGAATGCTCGTCCTTGTGAGGACGAGATCGAAGGGCATTTCTTACTTTCAGAAACGAAGTTTTGTGATTTTCTCCAAAAGCAGTATTATTTTTAGTGTTTCAAGTATCTTTGTGAGGTTACCTGCAATGTCTACGACTTGTAGTTTTGAGTATTTGTTTAGTATCAGAGTTGCTCACCGTGAGGACGAGGATTTTCCATTCTACAGTCATTAACACATATACCTACCTGCGGTCTGGACTCTGTTGCAGCAGGGCATCGCTTTGCCATGTATCTTATTTCTGCTCCTTTGCTTGGACATATTTCCGTGTACACCCGTACGATGCTTTTGTTTGCGCACAGTGGTGCATGTTGATGAGGGATGATAAAAGTGGTCTTTTAAATCTTTCTATAAGCGGCTGCATGCAGAAACCAAGTACAGACGCAGAGAGGGAGAGGGAGAGGAAGAGAGAGAGAGAGAGAGAGAGGCAGTCAGTGAGTACAGTCGACATGTATAGACGTTGGTATGCTGTAACGAATATGTTCTCCAGTACAATGATTATACGGCGAAGTCTTTCAGATAAAATCAATGGTTTTCGATGCAATGATCCGAGGCATGTTGTCCGCATCTTCGTCGTAATATGCTTCTTCCTGCACCTACACCAAAACATAGCACAGCGCTGCCGGAGAAAATGCAAGCCACTAGAAAATTCGAAATTTCAGCTGCACGCGAACAATATTTATTGACATAAGTTTCTGCAATCTAGCCAACTAGGAAAAGAGTTCACCTGACGACGAAAACATGACAAAAGAAGAAGTCAAAAGTTCGAAGTCCGTCGGCACAACGAGGACTGGCAAATCAGACCGCCCTCTAAAAATTAATAAACGATCATATGACTTCGTCATATCCCTTCCGTTTCCATGACGGTGTGATATGGCCTCGTCGAATCGAGAGGTTAATGGGGTATATCGTACAAGATGACCGCAGACATCTCCAACGAAGACGAGAACGATTCGTTATTGCGCATAACCGGACGAAGAAAGAGAGCGATACAAGTATTTACTATGGGAATGCACATGAGGGACACTACGAGACGCAGGCGTCTCGAGAGACGAAGATTCTCAGACTGTGGAGGTCGATGTCAGCATGATGTACAGTATGTAGCGTTCACTGTAACCCTAAAAAAGGGCCTCGCATTCGCTCCGTCGGGGGCTAAGCTTTTTGTCGCGACCTCGGGTCCACTCTCCGGTCACGCACTACGTAAGCACCACCCGCCGGAGAATGTCATCGTGGACGGATGGAGCGCTCCCGCCAGTGGGGGCTCCGCCAAGCGCCGCCTTCCCCAGAGCCAACATTCGGTAGCGGCCTCTCTCTCCAAATTGGCGGACGCGACAGCATGCCGGACGTGATACGTAATCGTACCTCCGTCGCGAAAATCCGTCGTCGTACCCGACGACGGGACTGTTTTGTAGCTTGCGGGACGACGACGACGCTGTTGACGTTCGCCGCGTTGGTGGACGCGCAAGCGTCATCTTCAAGGAGTCCGTGTATCAAGCGTGCCAGCGGGTCAATGGATGGTGACTGCGGCTGACGGACCGCAGCGTGGTGGGTGGACGTGGTGGTGGACGTGGTTGGGGGTCGAACCGGGTCGAGTGCTGAATAGCTGGTCGCGCATGCTCATGCTTATGCTTCCGTTTGTTCGGGAAAAGATGGCGTTCTCTCGTCCGACAGTGGACGAGACAAAGGCCCGTGGAATCGCCGCTTCGAGGCAAATCCTCTCGTACGCAAATCTTTTGTCTCGCGAAGCGAAGCGAGGCGGGCTATGGCTTTTGCCAGGGCTCGGTCCGATTTCGCAGGCCTGCTGGCTGGATTGCAGCAGGCGCAGATTGATGCTTATCTTGATTCACTGACATTATGACGAACGTGTTCTGACCGGCGCCCGCTTTCTTGCGCACCATCGTCTCCTTCTTCTTCTCCTCCTCCTCCTCTTCCTCTTCCTCTTCCTCCTCCTCGCTACGAAGCTCGCTTCCCGCTCAGATTTTGCTGGCTTCTTACGAGAATCATTACCCGGTGATCCAGGAGCAAATCGAGTACAACTCGCTGCTCTACTCTCCTGTCTAGCCCGAAATCCTACGAACAATCCGACGAGTCGACAACTGTTGTCGCGTTACACTTCAATCTCAAACCGCGACACGCATCGGATCGGCACTTGACAACATCGGGTCGTGAATCCGATCGAGACTTCTTGTCAAACGCAGCAGCACGCGCTTTGCCCTAGAGTGAGCGAGTACGTGTCAACCCACCTTCGAACCGAAATCGCCACACTCCCTCGGGCTTTTCTTCTTCTTCTTCTTCTTCCACCACCATGCCGCCGGGTATCTGGCAGATGACGACTCGGAGGCGAAAAGTGTCAACCACAGTACAGCAGAAAGACTTGGATCCCGTCCGACCCGGTCCTCAGAGCTCGAAGAGTAACACGGAAGAAAACCTAATTAACAGGCGCTTAAGGGCACGAGAGCGACCAATTAGCGGAAGGTCGGGGTTGCACAATTGGGTGCGATGTGCGTCGAATTCTCGCCTGCGAACGCTGGCATCGTCCGTTGTACGACCTTTGCGCAGCACGCGGACATGAGCCGGCCGGCACATGGGGCAATTGGCTGTAAAGGTTCATGAGTAGTTCGTCCTTGCATCCGGAGCTCTACGACATCCTTTGAGCATTAAATCATTCGGATATGGGCTGTTCTTTGATTTGGTCGTACGATGGCATTTGGGTGGCAGATGATGTAATGAGGAATTTATGTTGAGATCCCAGCGCTTGCCTTCCTTGCTCGCCAAGGATTCCGAGCTCCCGCGACATCGCCGCTCGCTTGGCCAATGCTCCCCATGAGATTCGCCATGGCCTTCCTGATTGGAGGCCTGTAGCTCATCGGCATCTGTCAAATTTCGTGACCTTTCCAGCCCTCCTCTCCTTTTACTCATTCCTCATTTCGGATTTATTTCATGCCATGTCGAAGGAGATCTCTTTTAATATTATTTGGTTCATTTCTCCACGTACACATGGTTTTCTCGTGCTTTTGCTTATTTTTTTAGATTTATGATATAATCTATTGACTTTTCCTTGGAAAGACCTTCGTTTATATATTGAGAACATCGGACTGTACATTCTTCCTGCAGCGTAAGTTCTGGATACGTGCTTCTAATATTCGTCCGAACTGGGCACTTCTCACTCCCGGTGATTGCTCCATAATTCCAACATGATATTTATTTTTAACTTTCCGTAAGCTCATAATGATTTCAACAGAGCTTTGGAACCCCGAGTCGAGCAAGGAGGATTTGGTCCATACGCCATTTTATAAAACGTCGCAGTAAAGTGCTCTTCAAGTCGATTTATTTCTTACCACATCTGCAATAACTCACATTGACCTTAAAAAATTACGAGTTTGGTCTTTCTTTTTACTATGCATTGGCAAAGTCCACAGACTGGAGCTTTAGATTTGTACTAACAAAGAAATACTGCAGTTCTGGAAAAGAGGTTTGCTTAATGAAGATTTGTGTGCAGTCCCAAAGCTAATCAACTCAAGGAGTTTTCTTTTATATTTGCAGGAAATGTAATATGTACGCCATCTTGAAAAGCTATTAGTGCCCGGTGATTTTGCTTCACTGCAATATGGTCATGCGAAATGAAACACCATTTAGAAATTTTAAACTTAAACAAGATCACGCTAAGCAATTTGTTACAAATTGATGAATGTTGGAATTATAAATAAAAGTCTAGTGAATTCTTCAATTCTATTCCAAACATGTTTGGAACAAGTGAATCTGGATTATTCATTATTTATTTCATGCGTTTTATAATTGAAGTTTAATATTGAGTTTGAACTTTTTTACATTTTATTTTTATGAAAATATTCTGAGTATGAATGAAATCTAATATAGTAAACTGAACCTATGCAATCTTTAATGTTGTGTAATTATTGTACATATGTACAATAATTTTACTTAATTTGAAGTTCAAATAATTGACTATGAAGTCTACATAATCAAATTTCCAATCTCATAAATAATTTCTAATAATTTCTGTATTAATAATTTCAAGTATAAAATTTTCATGAAATGTGTTTTCATCTTATATGATTTAGTTTTTAGTTTTTACTTATTTTTATTTTGAAATCCTTCATCATTATCATTCTATTGATACATATCATCGGATGAAGTGGGTATTTACCTAGATATATCTATCATCTAAATTGTTTGCGATCCTGATTATTTTTTAAGTTCAAGTTTTTCAGCTTCAAATTGTAAAATAATGTAAAATCTATCCATGATTTTGGACTGTCTTAATAAAACTAAATCATTCATCTATTCCATGCAAGGTATTTTAAACTAAATGGATGATTATTTATATTTCAGCATGTGCTATCTGAACATTCTGTACATAACAAGTGAGTAGGATTGAAAGCCAATGCACCTCTAACATAGGTGTTGTTTATTAAAAAAAATTTGTTCATTTCTTTTTTTGGTTCATTGGATCGTTTCTCCACCACCTTCACACACCTGATCGCGCTCGAGAATGAAATTATAATCCAAGAAGTTCAGTGGAAAGGGACGACATGAAATCTTGTTTCTACTAAATTGTTATGAAACTGCCTACATATGGTTGCAACTGGTGCAAGTTCATCAACGAAATGATCTAAGTAAAACACATAGAGTTGTGTAAAGCTTATATATGCAAAAGTGCAGTTTCTTACAAAGGAAATTCCTTATTAGGACAGGAGGGAATGAGTAGTGACTACAATCCCTTTGGACTTTTCCTGGACCAATAGTTCCCAGCTATTTAATACAAATCAGGTGGAGACAAGGTAAGGGGAGTCCATCGGATCTTTCACATTTTTTAATATATAGCTCAGCAGCGTTCAGGTATGATTACATAGTGATATTGACCTCCAATCTTCCAAGTTTCTGGTTGTAGTCATTCTTTACTATCGAAGTGTTGTTTCAAGGGCCTTGTAAATACATCATTCTGAAGGTATATTCCATGGGAATAATCTGCAAACAACCTACAGTATAGCAGAGAATAAGAGTGCGAACATCCTATGATGACAAACATCAATAATTGGATAAAGTGACGCTATGGTGTCACTTTTCCTATTAACATGGATGTTTGCAATGATAAATCACCCGAAAAGGCCTCACGTCGGCCAAAAAAAATTTCAACACTGTCCACTTGGAGCTGGAAACGGGATGAATTAACAAATACGATGAATACCAAACTATTTAAACATGATTTCGAAGGAGTCAATCACGAACGTAATTTCGTGCGCCGTCAATTTGGCTATTTTCATCTATTCAGAATGCATTCACCGTCTCGATCGCAACGAACCTCGCCACGTCCCGATGCATGTCATCACGCCATTTCGCTTCTGGGAATGCATGGGAAACGAATGTCCAAACGGCACCAGTTTTCTATTCTCGTTCGGGGCCAAGTGACAACTTCTACGCATGAAGCAATGTAGCCACGTAAAATTTACATGCTCGTACATGTCATTTAGTTTTTCATTTCGGGGCAGTCTAACCATTGCGTCCGCCTCAGTCACAGACAAGGAAATCCGACATGTACTGCACGTACTGTTCCACCTCCGCAACTGACGAGTCCAGCGGGGACTGGCTTACATCCACGCCTACAACCTGACATGACATGTCCTCAATAATCGGATGCAATTTGTTCGAACGACATTAATAGCTCTAACTACTTTGGGAGAGGAGTAATTTGGATCAAGTCATGAAGTCAAGTTATAATGCTCCTTTCATTTCTGTCTGACTCTGCTGGAGTTTCTGTCTGATCGAAAAATCCACATCTTCTGAATGAGAACAAATTTGAAGTCTTTCTAATGGGGAAAAACATCTTCAAAATGTTTTATCGATTTATCAAAGAAAAATCCGAAATTTTCAATTTTCTTTTAACACAAATTTTAGTTGCTTGAATATATTTTTTATAACCAAGGCATCGATACAAGGAAAAATTTCAGGCATTATTTTTTCAAAGAATTGCATAAAAATCTGTAATAAATAAATTTCATGATATTTATGATAAGAAAGTTATCAATTTTTGGTTTGTAGCTTGAAAAAATTCTAATAAATTCTAAGCCTCTTCAGTATGATTGATAGCTCTAAAAGATTCTCTTAAAAATAAAAGTTTGCTTCATTATATTCATATTCTCATGTATTGATTGTGAATAAAGTGTATATGCTAATGTTTTTTAGTTCAATTCCATATAAAATGCAAAAAATTATCAGCAAAAAATTATTTAATTTTTTAAAATTATAATTAAAATAAATTTCTTTAAATAAATTTTAAAATAAATTTAATATTATATTTTTAATTTTTATCATATAAGGATAATTAAAGAATAATATTATTTTAAGTTTTAATTTTTTGTGAAATATATTAAATTAATGCATCAAAATAAATGTGCACATGATTTGAATTGTAATTTTTATTCTAAAAATTTAATTTTCTTCATTTATTTATTTACAATTTTTAACTTAAAAAATAATTTTAAACTAAATATATTTTTGCATTTTATGATGAGACAAGATAGTTATATTAATTAAACATCTAACAAAAAATGATGTACGTCTCTAGCTAGTACACAAAAACATACGACTTTAATGAAGCAAAATTAGAACACAAAAATACTAAAAATCTTATCCGTAATTTTGACTTTTACCCCTAGATTTAACTATATTTTTTTTGACCTCCTTGTTCCTTTGGGTGCTCCACTACCATAATTCTCCCCAATGTATTCTTTGTTTTTTCTATTGCATGTTTGAATGATCTCGATTAGTGCTACCTTTTTGTTGAAACCTTGTCGATTTTTGACGCATACTAATTCATCGTTAATAACACTATCTTATACATATTTTTTTTACAACCAAAATGAGATTTTATTTAGAAAATTAGATCAAAACCTAAAAACCTTACCCAGCTTTTTTCAAAACCAACGACATTAAATATATATAACAACGATTGTTGCCACCTCCATTCTCTTGAAGAAATTTGGGTTGACATGCAATATCACAATACGCATTGTATGGTATTAAATTTCATTCCAATCATCATCATCTACGTCGTCAGATATTGGCTCAAACACCTTGCCCAAATTCCTAACATCAAGAACACTAGTGACTTGTCCGTTCTCACAAGACATAGTCATTCTGTACATCAAATTTTTCCACCTCAAAGTTTGGAACTCTAAGCTTACTCATCGCCATCGATCGCTTTTTATCCTTAAACGTGAGATAGTCTAGTAGTGTATTCTTCTCGCCCAAATGCACTTGAGTTGTTTTTTGTTTAGATTGCTCAAACT